CAGTGGCAGAGAAGCAACACCTTGAAAAGTGCAACACAAGGACAAAACAAAATTAGTTACGTAGAGTCGGATGAATGCGGTAGAAGGGAGTAGAGTTCGAAAACTACAAACGTTATAAACTGGTGTATCATGGTAATGATTTCGAGGCAGAATATACATTAACCGAACTATTGCAGTTGTTCGAAATCCATGGTTTATCGAGCAACTCCTTAACATGTAGTCTAAATCTGCACATTTGTGTCGGAAGCTGTAGTATCAGAAAAAGGAGACAAATTTCAGGTACTGTAATCAACTGCTGAAAATAATTAGTACTTTAATAAACTGATCTGTTGCAAATACATATAAAGGTTTCACAGGTGTGGTACCCACACTCTGAAAAATCGATGAGACTCAAGTCCAAATAAGACTTCTTTCTGAAAAACTGCGTTACTGAAATCACCTTTGAAGTGTCTTCGTCACCAGAAGAGCTTATTCGTCGCTCCAAACGAATTCGCTTCATGGGTCGCACGGACAGACTCGTTCCACCAGCTCTGCCACCAGCGACAATTTCTTCGGCATCTGATTTAGCAACAAGGTTAGTGCTGATTGTCACCGTCCTAATTGGAAGCATTTGACCGTCATGAAGAAAAAATTAAAAACTACAAAAATTATTACGATGGTTGTGTTGAGGTGTTCCCCAATTTCGTTGGTGACCTCTGAGTAGTGCTACTCGGTAGCATCGAGCTTTGAGTGGACGAGACCGTAGCAACGGTGCCCACCGCTTCGATGTTTGCCGCTGACGTGGTAGAGCTAGAGTCGAACCAGCAGCTAAATCGAAATTTTTAGTATGATCACAATTCGACACCAGTAACGTTTAGCGCTTACCTGGAACTGTCAGCAATAACACTGGAACCCAGAAAAACGGGCGTAATCTTCCTTTTGCCTTCTTTCGTGCGAACCTCGATCTGCGTGGCAACAGGCTAGGCAAAAAAGCATTAAAACGGTTGCAGGTTTCAATCTTAAACCTTTACATTTCTGTTCATGGGGTAAGAGAAACAACCTAGTTCTGAATCAAAAATAATTAAACTATTAGAAGATACCATGCTGTTTAAAAATTAGCTTAACTAAGTATAAATCAATTTATAACACAATATCACTGTACATGTATTTATTTTACTTTTGATGGTAAGTACCACTCCTGTTCTACTTGTCTTCATTTAGGAGTCATATTTTATGGTGATTAAGTTTGGTGAAAGGAATATCTTTAAATCCTGCATACTACGGCATTAACATGGTAGAATATCATTTGTCCAAACAGTCTTCATATTCTTACGTCCCGTACATTCCTCATGTGTCTAGGTTTGATAAATGGTATGGCATGTTAATTCCACAGTATGTGAGACTTAAAGAAAGCGCTGTCCACCGCGCTTGCCGTGAGGTTACCTGGTTGCTAACTTAATTGCTATAAAGTATATATAACCCTTAAATGATAATAAGTAAAGTAATAGTAATAGAGTACCATAAAAATAAAGTTTGCAATGTCTGCAAATCAGTCAAAAATGCATGCAAATCATGGACAAATGAAGAGTGGACGGAAGGTAAGTAGAACCAAGCAATGGGGAGAGGAGAAATCAGCAACAGCGGTAGGTCTGTCCACACCATATGCGAGACTTGTCCATTAGAATTCAAGCGCGGCTTGAATCTGGTCATTAACTGATTATTCCTTTGGAATGTTAACTCACTATGAACTCAACGTTCAGTAGTTCGATGCGACGACCTGTCTGAACTGCCTGCTTTACATCGACTTGACTTCTGCTTGGAGAACGACCAGCAGAAGTAGAAAGAGGAGAACGTGAAAGGTAAAAACAGTAGAAAACTGATAAGCCCAAAACAGGTTTGCTTACTTTCACCTCTGCAGCAGGAGGCGGCAGAAGTGCTTCTCTGTCTGTATTTGAAGGGGTGGTCACTTCGGCGGGTTTCAAACCAGCTGTACCATTTTTGGCTTTGCTTTGGTCACGCTTTTCTTTCTCCTGTCGTCTCAGGGCCAGAATCTCTGGATTTTCTATCACCTCCGTGTTGGTAAAGCAGTAGTCACGTGGGTCTGCTGAAGCATTGACGGTTACACTGACTTTGCCATAGTACCGCCGCAGCAGATCCAACTAAAACGAGAAGTAGTGACACACAATACGTAAAACAATATTCTGCATTAACAGCCTTTTTGGAGTTATTTGTTATAAAGGTACTTCCAACACATGCTAACTCTTCAAAAATTTAACTTCATATCTAGATTTGAACAGATTAACATCAAC